TCGCTGAAGGCTTTAAACAGAAGGGAATGCATCGATTATAAAGAGACTTTTTATCTGGTTTCATCAAGAGATTCTTTCAGGATTATAATAGCTTTTATGGTGCATTTTAATCTTGAGTTGTATCAGATAGATGTTAAGACAACATTTCTCAATGGCAACGATGAGACGATTTTTATGGTACAGTCAGAAAACTTTATAATCAAGTGATACAGAACAAATACTTTACAAAATAAAGAAATTCATTTATGGACTTAAATAAGTTTCCCATCAATGATATCATAAATTCCATTAAATTATTATCTCGTTTGATTTTAAGATGAATATAGTGGATGATTGTGTATACCATAAGTTCACTAACAATAAGTATATTTTTCTGATTTTATATATTGATGACATATTGTTTGCCAGCAATGATATAAACTTATTACACGAAATTAAAAAATTTCTGACAAAGAAATTTATAATAAAAGATCTTGGGATGCCTCTTTTATATTAGGGATATAAATATATTAGGATCACTCTCGGACTATTCTTGGATTATTATAAAAAAAATATATATATAAAAAAGTTCTTAAGAGATTTGGTATGCAAGATTGTAAACTAGATGACACCTTTATGCCAAATGAAGATAAGTTTACTCTAAGCTAATGCCCTAAAAATGACTTTAAGACTAAAAAAATGCAAAAGATTTCTTATGTTTCATATATAGAGAGTCTTATGTATACTCAGATTTGTACGCATTCAGATATTGCGTACGTTATTGAAATGCTAGAGAGATATTTAAGCAATCTAGTGATGAATCATTGGAAGCAACCAAACATGTTATGCGGTATTTATAGAGAACAAAATATTATATGCTCACATACATGAGATCAGATCAGTTGGAGATCATTTGTTATTCTGATTCTGATTTTGTTAGATGCCAAGACAGTAAGAGATCCACTTCGGGCTATATATACTTACTTGTTGGGAGAGTGATTTCCTACAAGAGTGCTAAGAAAACACTTATAATCTCTTCCACCATGGCAATAGAATTTATAACATGTTATGAGGCATCCAATCATAGAGTATGGCTGTAAAATTTTGTCATTAGACTGTGCATTTTGGATGGTATTGAAAAACTACTCAAGATATTTTGTAATAATAAGTCTGCAGTTATGTATTCTAATAATAACATGAGCTCGACGAAGTCAAAGCATATAGACATCAAGTTCCTAGTTGTTAAAGAAAGAGTTCATAGTAGACAGATATCGATAGAGCACACCAGGACAAACTCTATGGTTGCGGATCCACTCACTAAGGTTGTTCATGAGCACATCACTTATATGAGTTTATATCTCTTGAGGATATATAGTTTCAGTAGGAGTTTTGTACCTTAGTTGTTCTTCTTATTTAGACATGTCTTTTTGTGAACTTTAGATATGGTTAATGAATATCTGGTTATTTTTTAATTACGAAGAATTTTGTTTATATTATCTCTGAACTTGTTTAAAGATAATCTCATTAAGGTTTAAGGTAGGACCATATGAAAATATGCATGTTCGGATCACATAGCATATAATTCCATACTGCACATCCACACTTGATTCATGTCAATCAGTTATATTGATATACATAACTATTGATAGGTTTAGCTACGATAGTTGTGGCGAAGACCGCTTTAGTCCTACATTGATATAATTGATGGAGCGAATTGTTTAGGGGTGCATTTACGTATTGATAGCAAAACTCTAAGTACTCATAAAGATATTAATGCATCATTATAAAGTGACAC